CACACACACACACACACACATATATACAAATATATATATATATATATATATATGCGCGTATGTATTTATGTATGCATGTTGCATGTATGTATCCGTATACACTACACTTTGTTTATACGTATACATATAGTATATTTACATTCAATATTACCATTCGCCAAATTGATATATGTTATATAGTTTTTCTCATCGACTATCTGATAAACCTGCCACAGGCACCATTCAAACTTCCAGAATTCATTGCTGATACTGGCGTGGGAGAGATGCGAGAAGCCCTGCAAGAAAAGGAGGAGGCTATGGGTATGATTTACACTGTGCTGTACTTCATGTAGTAGTCTGTTTCGGATGATGATTCACACTGTGCTGTTCTTCATGTAGTTGTAGGAGTCTTTTTTTGATCGGTAAGCCGTACGGTAGGGTGTCTTTTGATTTGTTAATGTGTGTCAGTTGTTTGTGCTATGTTACGATGTAATTAATGTATCTGGTATTCCTGCAGATGAAGTTTTCTTTCATGTGCATGCTGTTTATATGCACGTATTAGCCTGTGACATGTGTATGTTGCATATCACCAGATGTAAATTAGGAGCGTGTGCATATACTACGGCTGTGAGTAAAACCTGGTTCATGTGCGTAATGTATCCAGGCATACCCCTTTTCTTATCGTGTGTGTGCTGTTTATATGCGTATTTAATTCTGCAGCGTGCACATTCTGTTTAAACGATAATGAATCCGGAGACAAACGCGAGTTTTAACGGCCGTTCCAATAATCTGTAGCGTGCTAGAATCGGTATTCGGGCCGACCAATAAAATCGCATAGATGTGCATGCTTCATGTATGCATACTTCTAACGTTTATCAATTTACCTGATGTGTATAGGCATGAGGGGAAAGGCACGTGAGAAAGTAAGGCCGAAAAGGGGTAAGATGGAAATAGACTACCAGAAATTGCATGACGCGTTCTTCAGATACCAGACGAAGCCGAAGATGTCCATTCATGGAGACATGTACTACGAAGCGAAGGAATTAGAGACCGATCTAAAGGTACGATCATATATA